AAATAGGGATTCCTTAAGGCGGTGAGGAGACAGAATGTTGATCTTTTTGTTCTCGTCAGCTATTAAACGGTAACTCCTCTTCGGAAAACATTGCGGTGAATGAGAAGAAATATCAGCATCATCAAAAGGTTTTGTAACACTAAAAATAAGAAATTCTTTTACAAGCTAACAACTGGGATCCCGGTGAAGCCATGTGGTGTCCTTCAAGATTCATGTCAGTTGGCGATAAATAATTCATTTATACATCCTATTGCCCCGGCTGATGGGTAAGCTCAAGAATTTCGCACTGGGATAGCTTTAAAATACGAACACAAAAGGTCTCGAGGATAAGTAGCTAAGTGCATAGTCTTCCTTTGGCTAAAGTAATCCATCAGAAAAAGCAGCGATTTTCGTTACTGTGCCCGCTTCAGTCAGCCTATACGATTAGTTCTAACTATTATGGCAGTGAAAATCAGAACTTCACCGGATCAATTCGTTTCGTACCCTCAAAAGTGCCATAATATGGAGAAAGACTAAACGAAATAAAAATAAAAATAAAATACACGACACGTTTGACCGTTTGAATGGAACTAAACGGTAATGTGACCGATTAATAAAATTTGGGAATTCCCAGAGTAACGCTGATTTCGTTCGGAGCACACAATATAGACCCAAATCGATCATTTCTTGCAGCCCCGTGGAACTCAAATCTCCGTGGACGACTACTTCATGCTTTGACCTGGAAAGAAAGGACCTACACTGGCCCCCTCAACCAGATAGGTGATAACTGGATTTCTGAGTTTAGACTTCTTCCAGTTGAGTCATGTTCAGATGACGGTACGAACTCGCTCATGTGGGTGTACTATGCTCGCGTTTCTGGGCCCCGGTTAGTTTTTTCCAGTGTACGTAATCCCGCATTTCAGGAATACTGATAGTTGAAATGATTAGTTGTCAGAATTGCCGTTAGATTTTAGTGATATAGCCTGTGAGTATGCCTTTACTGTCAGCTCTGACGCAGCTTAGGTTAGGTGAAAGGGCCCGTCTATATTTCGTTAACCCTGCTTAAATGCATAGCCACTTGTGTAAAAGACAAAGTCTCCAAACATCCCGACTGTGTTTTATCAAAAACAAAGTTATTCGGTGATTTTATATGTTAGAATATACAAACACACATGAATACACAAGAATAATCTACTTTCCCTTTCCAGTTATGCTCCTGGGGTTTGTTTCGTTGGTTAACTAGGAAGCAGCTAAACGTTCTCTGAAAAAATGGTTACATACAACGCGATAAAATACACCAGATGTTCCAACGTTGGCAAAAGATTTTTGCAAATACATAACTCATGAACGGGTGTCACTTTTAGATCAAGAATACATATTTACAAACAGCATTTTTGTACTTTATTCTCCTGGTCTGTACAGCTTGGGGATTGCAAAACTACGAGCAAGCATTTCATAATGGTAAAGCAAAGGCGAAATCGAGTCCGTGGATAGGAGTGCGAAAACCTTTTATGTCAGGAACGATTTGACTTGGTGACCAGCTGTCAACTGTTCAGATTATGCGAGTCTAGACGCGCTTTCTGAGTGTATAGACATTAGTTGTGTGGGCTAATCCTATTATCCCAGCTGTTTCTAGGCAGTGATAACAATGTTAATGTAAAAAGGATTTGTTTGCATTCCTGGCAACCAAAAAATACATTGTCTGTGCTTCCTGTGGCTACGAATTTGCTGATAAGTCACCCCAAATTACGTTATGCCAAACGGTAAATCTAGAAAAAACTTATTTTTAGGTCTTCTAGCAGGCGGTAAATGCGCTATTACCAATCTACATCGCAGAATCTATTTAAGAACAATGTCTTACAGTTTGTATTCCCCTTACCAACAATTTCCAGCTTGCTGGTATTCAGGAGGTCTTGAGTTTACCTCTAGGTTATGTTGCAGCAAGTGGTGCGTCTATGCTGAAGAAGTAGGGAACACTGTTCACTGTACAAATTATACTGGCAATCATAGGCAGTGCCATCTCAAGAAGCTCAAAGAAGTTTCGTACCAGTGACTGGCCGGTAGCTCGGAAATCTCAACTACGTTTAGTTCGTCCTCAGTAATCCTGATAACATGATATGAATACATATGAAGATATATGTGTCTGTGGATGTCTTCTCAAAGGGTAGGGTGTCACCCTTCTCCAAACCACATATCTAGTCAAACAAGGGAAACCACAAGTATCTGAAATAAAATTCTTAGTCTGTGTATGTATGTCAACTGTATCAAAGTACAAGAACATGCGCGCCCTTCGGTTTCCACATAAACTCCAGAGGTGTAGAATGTTCTAAGAAATACTACTTTTGTAATTAAATATACCATATTTTGCATTGAAAGAAAGCCTAAAAATCCGTGCCAGAAACCTAATCATAGTGTGAATATTTAGAAAGCAGTCTTCCACACCAATTCTACTATCTAAAGGGAATTCCCATAAATGTTTTGCGCATCCTCCACATGCTGGTGCACGGACCCACGATCTCCCTACGACTGGTTATGAACAGGTGAACGGCCACCTGACCTACAACCAGATTACCTGTCCTGGTGTCCACTGGAGGTTTTGTGTGATACAAAACAATGCCAATATCAACATCTTGACATAGCCATTACTGGAATAACAACCCAAAAGCCGTGACCCCATCCAGCCAACCACGCCAAAATCATTTGTCTGAAATCCCGAACATATCACATTGCTTCGCGAGGGATAGGCAGCCAAATTTTGGGTAAACTTTGATTGTCAGTAGCGTTCCGGCAACGATACAGGATGGCTCCATACCATCTAGGTTTTGGTTCATATTTACCTGAACTTCGTTTAGAATTTTTGTGTCAGGTCACTCGAGCTGTACAGAGGGAGCGAAACCGTCTGCATGAAAGACGGACTTGATAAAATAGTGCTCGAAGCTTAGTCGGCCAGAAAACTGTCCAACTGTCCATGTGTTTGATTCACAACTGCCTTTCTAAAGATCCCACAATACAGAATTGTAAAGGTTAAGAATATTTCCTGTTTCCAACGCGTCGGATAACTTTATCACTAATCGATGCTTGAAAATTTCCCCGCCGTGCACAGTGAAATGCAGCCAGGTTGTTATCTATCTACGGTAAATCCGGAACTTTGGGCAGAAGAAATAAATATATAGCATTGGCTTAGTTCTTCAATCATTGTCCAATTTTTGTTTCGGCGGACCGGTTTGCCAATTTCGCTGTTTACTTTCACGTCAAGATTCTCGCAATAAAAACATTTGTTCTGTTTCTGGCTTAGCCATGACATACACATTGGTGACGTGCAATTCACCCTTATAAGGTAGCTTCTTCAAGCTGAAAGTACAATCACTGTCCTTAGTCAACATATGGGTCTGTGATCCAGTGCGATTATCCATCAAATAGTTTCGATCGTAATCGCGTTGGCACTACATCTTGTAAAATGAGGATACCATAGTATCCACCAGGCTTCCACATTAAGGTGCGCTCATTCAGTAGCTGATTGGCTTGGATACCTTTTTATTCTTTCTAAATGAGGGTTTATTTCTATCCAAGTTTTGGTTGCATTGTTATCCTTACCAAATATGGTGGGCTTTTTCAGTCAACTCTTTGAAATTAACTTCGAAACTCCGCACAGCGTAACCAACGTTGTGGCACTCAGTTGTGGCTGACTGATATCACTCTGATGATTCTGTCTTTGACACCCATTTTCATCAATAATACTTGAACAATAATAAAAAACCGTTGTATCATCATTCCATATCTGGTCAATCTGATCAGTGGGTTCGATGTTATATGGCTCAGTATTTCTTCAGGGAGATGGTGGGACGCATAGTGACTTGGGTGGATCAGTCGCTGATGTCCGTAAGTAAACTTACTTTTCAGTCAGTACAGTGGTCTGCTTACAAAGCAACAGTAGCCGTGCGTGAAGCACTACTGCGTAAGAGAATGGCAGTCCAATGGGAAGTTTCAACCGCTTTCTAATTCACAGGATGTCGAGTAGACCGCCATTTTGGCCCGTATCATGCACCCATGGCTATAGCCGACAAACATGAAAAAACGGTCGGTTAGTTTCTTTTTTCTGTCCGGCCCAGTTCGCTGTGACCAGTATGATGATATATTCGTTTATCTTCTTGACCAATCGCACCTTTACTGTGTAGACTATTTCCTTCTTGGCGCTTTTCGATATGTCTTTCCGATGTCAAATAACTGAGTCTTGAGCCCCACTGCCTTGAATACTCCTATGAAGGAGACCTAAGCGAGAGATTTTCGCTCAAGAGGGTTACCTGAATCTCAAGTTCTAAATGATATAGTTCCAAAATGAGCAACGCACGTTCAAATTCATCTCTACCTGAGAAACTTCGTTGACTATACCTCAGGTAGCTTAAGCGAAGGGTGCTTATCCTGAATTTGTGTAAACTCGCCGCACAAAATAGTGTCTGAATATCGTGCTTTAGTTAGATGAAATGAGTTTTCTAAAAAAATTAATACTTAGTTTTGTCAGGGCCGAGAGGTAGATAATTAGTTAATGAGCCGATCTTGATTGAAAATTCTAGTCCCACACCCGAATTCGTTTTAGCATTTAAGCAGTACATTTCATCCGGTGTTTCTTGCATTCTGGTTTGAACCTACAGATATTTTGAACGTTTGCTGTGAAAAGTTATTTCTAATGGGCCTGCACATTCCCTTGCTTATGGGAAAAGAAACAAGTCCGTTCAGGATCCCGAACATTTTTTTGCAATCTCTTTTATTAAAATCGGCCTGCAAATAACGATCAAATGGATCAAACGTCTATGATTAGACCGAAGAAAACACTAGTTATAACGCACTTCCTTAATTAAATTGAACTTACTTTCCTGATTTTTGCAGGAAGAACAAACCATCCGTCGGTTGCTTTGCTGATGTGAGAGACTCCCAACTGAAACATCCAATGACAATGTTCATTTCTAACCTTTGATTAAAACGTGTGGAGGCAAACCAATTTCGATCGAAGATGCCTTGCCGTAATGCGGGAGAGGCACGCTGCGGCTAGGGCCAATACCATTTGCCATGAACAACAACCGCGAAACATCCACGTACTGCAATTACTGACATTATTAGTATTCCTTATTCCTGTCCACAGGGCCACACAAATTGTACGATTTCGCATGGAGGAGGAAAAGCCAGTTGGATTTCTTATCGGTTTGTTACTCAAACAATTGCCAGACGCGATTCTCACCAGCGCCGGGACCTTGATGTTCCGATCCATAGACCAAGAAGACGCAAGGTTTTTCATTGTCGGAGTGAAAGACGGACGTGTACAAGTAGCTCAACGTATTGATCGTGAGGCATTATGTCCATACACAGAAGTAGGTTTGGGGAGACCGGATATACAGCCGAACTGTCAATTGGAATTTTCCGTCAATCTTCTAAGAATTACAAACACAACGACGGAGATAGTTGATGTCCTACAAATTTTCATTACAGTGGACGACGTAGACGACCATTCGTGCACTTTCCAACCAAGCGAAAAGCAAACAATTTACTTACCAGAAGACACACCATTGAATACAACCATTCCGCTCCATAGGCCGATGGACATGGACACCGGAAGAGGTCATGGAATAAACGGCTCATCAATAAGAGTTATGTCCGAAAGTGTTTCAACCGACACCCACGCACCAAAAATATTTGCACTTCGAGTGAGTGATACAGACTCACTTGTGAAACCGCACGCCTTGGAACTTGTGCTACAATCTTCTCTGGACTACGAGAGTATAAATTTATACAATATGGAAATATTAGCTACCGGATATGATAACTTCGATTGCCGACTTTTAATATCTGTTCATGTCACTGACTGCAACGACAATCCACCTAGATTTGCTAGCAATTTTTCAGTTGTTCAAATTTCCGAAACCTCTAAACCTAATGTGCCAATTTATTCTGTATCTGCCGTTGACTCTGACCTAGGGCCCCTATACAGTAAATTAATTTATGAAATTGATTCCTACGCCCCCGAAATCATTAAAACAACTTTCCGTATTGACCCAGAAACCGGCTCTATATTTCTACAACGTCCCTTAAACCATAGGAGGCAGACTACCTACGACATTCCAGTTACCGTCCGCAATCCCGTTCAGTTTGTACACAACTCAGGGATACCAGATGCACTAACCCTAAATATTGATTATCGATTTATGGATAGGATGCAAGTTAGAGTTCATGTGGCTAGCACCAGTGATCAGAAGCTAACCATATCGGTTTTTACTCCGGAAGGCGGCGAAATAATCACACTGCCAGAACACGTTTCAGACTTGCCGTTTGACTTTGCAGTAGTTTCTGTGACGACTGAAAAAGTTCATTTGAACAGCTATATCAACTGCACTTTGGAGCACTCAGGAATCAAGCAATTCAAATTGACTGAAATATCTACTTCAAAACAAAGTTCTCACCAAATGATCGCGGTTAGCAGCGAAAATGTACCCAATCCTACCCCTGTAGAGTTGATCTACAAGTTGTCTGCTTTACATTCCTTTGATCGTGAAATTACCAACACTGTACCTTTGAAAATTCAATGTCACGATGCTGGCAATCCACCGCTTACTTCGGAATACGTGATACAAGTGCACATTAAAGATAAAAATGACCATAGTCCACAATTCAACAAAACCAAATGGCGCTTCGCGGTAAACGAAGACAGCGATCCTGGCAGACAACGAATCGGTTACATGATTGCTCAGATCAACGCTGTTGACCTTGATGCCGGTCAGAATGCTCAGATAACATATCACATAACCGAAGAAACTCATGGATCTCACTTTGTTGTAGACAACATAACTGGAACAGTCCGCTCCAAAGGGAATTTAGATCGGGAAACGTCTGACCACCATCAGTTTACCCTGCTGGCGATTGACAGTGGGACACCACCATTGACTGGCAGTACAGTTGTGACCGTGTTTGTTCGAGACTACAACGATGAGGCGCCTGTTTTTGCTCAACAGATGTACACGTTCCATATAGAGGAAAATAATGGTTATGGGGAACTAATTGGCAGTTTGCATGCAACTGATATGGATGAAGGCTCAAATGCTGCGATCGATTTTAGTCTGGAATTGATGTTATCACCATCTAAGCTTCGCACCTTTTACGCCCAGTCAACCACGCCGCCAGTGACTTCAGGCGAATTGCCATTCGACCTTGTTAGTTATTTCGACACATTACATAACACCTACGAGGTTCGATTATATGCCAGTAAAATGATCGATCGCGAGGCTGTCGCACCCTCTAGCCTATTTTCACCCGAAAAGCCTCCACCATTGGGAGTCTTCGCTCCTTCAGGGACTACGCAGCTGAGCACTGGGACAACGAAACCATCACCTACGTTTAAATTTTGGGTCGTCGGTGAAGATGGAGGTGTGCCACGACGCAGAGGTCAAACAATGATTCATGTGTTTGTGGACGATGTCAACGATCAACATCCTGTGTTCCAAGTGCCGAGAAACACTTCGTCATTGATCAGCTTATCGTACATGGAGAAGACTGGCCATGGTGTGTTCCAGGTTAGTGTCTTAGGTTTTGTCCAATGGCTAAAGGTGCTACTTTTGCTCCTACTGCAACTCGTTTTTATGCTTGTGGATGGGTATCTGGCAGAGTCCATCAACTCTCCTAATAAGACATCCTTGATATCCTAGGTAGCAAACTTGCCATAATTTACATATGATTCCTATGCCAATAGCTTGATACAGGAGTAAACGTTGCGGTAGAAAATCCAAGCTATTAGGATAGTTTTGCCCGGCGTTTTAGTTACTTAGTTGACTGAGGAGTATAAACAAATGGAGAGTGCCTACGTATGTGTTTTATCATTTGACTGACTGCCGTGGTTGAAAGTAGTAAGACTCGTAAATTCCTTAAAACCTATTTGGAAATCCTACAGAATGACGATCATGTGTAACACATGATTAAAATTGCACCCATGTAGGTAGTGTCTTTTCAAATATTTCTGATTCACTTAAGTCACGGAGGGGATATCTCAGTTTGGCCACCTCAGGTCCCACTTTGTTATTCCAAGCAGTTTATACGGTACATAATTTGAAGTTCTTTCAAGTACTAGGGTGGAATTGGATTCGCTGATCACTAGAGACTAAATCCAGGGTTTGCCGTACAAACGGTCACATGAAAAATTATGAAGCAACTTGGTAACTTAACTCTGTTAATACACGTTTGGAAACCACATACTGGACCACCACTGGCGCGTTGTTTTCTGTCACTTATATACGAATTTGAAAGTCTGAAAGAACTCACTCGCGTTTACTAGAGTGGATGGAAATTACCCGAGATATTACGTAACTTGATATTTGCCATACAGACCACGGTAAACAGTCACTCTTAATGGCACTCCAAATAGACGGTAAGATGGGTGCTTTGGATGGGTTTAGTCTGAACTCAGCAAAGGCTGAGACACGAGAGAATGCAATACGTTGCTTATTGACAAGAATCCTGATAGTGGTACTTTAGTTTACTTATGAGCACTGTTTTTCGCATCTTCTTTTGGTGTTGAACGTCTGTAGTTTCTGACAAGTCAAGCTCATTTCGCTGAAACTATTATCCCCAGTTGAAGAAAATCTGTGAACTGCACAGAATTCAAGAAAATAACTAGCAGCCTTCTAGTTGCTGGTGTCGGGTTCCATGTGTGCGTTCATAAAAGTTCCACTATAGAGTGTACGTAAGAAAACAGACACTCCACTGTATCTTGGAACGCATGAAGCACAATTGCCCCGTGTCTGACACATCCGTATTTATGCTTCGCCATGCCATAAAACCACATAGTCTTCGAATCGGATGAAGCCAATCTGCTGAAATCTTTGCCTGTTGAAACTTGGTTGGTTGGGCGTAAAGGGCTTTGAAAAATAAAAGAATTTCAGCCGTTGAGTGTGATGTCTGGGCACGGTAATCAGCGCTTTAAAGCTACAAATGGCGCTTAAACAACCACTACTTGAGACGGAATACTTTAGACATATCTTTTTGCTCGGAACCCCGGGAAAGGTACGAACACTTTGAATCATGACCCAGTATCGACCAAATGTCGGTTGCCAATGGCGCATCCAGAAAGCGTCAGAAATTCCAGAAAGTTATAACCGTTTACGCAAATATATGAAGCGCTGTACAACTGTTCTTGACTTTGTTTTGGGCGTTAATAGACCTTGTGCACCTTTGGTGGTTGTTTTGACGTGAACGCTAGATTGGGAGGCTCAGACCGAGAACTAAGCTCAGGAAAATATCGTTACTACAGTTGCATATCGCGTTTCCAAGTTCAGTTAATCCAAATAAGGATCACACTTTACATGGAACAATGACTGTGTATTGAACAATAGTATAGGACTTCGTTACTTCAAAATACTCAGCTCCACTCTCGGCGAACTATATTCCATTTATTGTTCCAAATGATAAATTAACGTGTTTTCGAAGCAATGGCTGCATTTAAGCTGTGCGTATAAGCCAGCGTTCCCCATTCGCTCTGTCAAGTAATTCAACACCGTACGCCACTCTTAGATTGAGAAACTTTGGAAGCAAATAGTGTACAGATTGTAGTGTGTGATTATTTACCCTTCGTCTACGCACAAGCTCAACACTAGAGCGGACATGCAACACAGCCCATAAGAAGTGATAAAGAGTCGCCTATGGGGCATCTGTTTTGTCCTCTAAACACAGAAGATGCCTAACAATATTGGTCTCAAGCTCGCAAGTTATTTTTACTTTGTGTGTATGCCTTTCTGTATAAAGTTATCTGCCGTACTGAGCGCTAGCTGATAATACAGGTTCAGCTAATTTTGGTCCACCGTAAGGCATCTCAGTTGTAGCTTTCCTTCGAAGATAAAAAGCATAAAAGTAGCATCGGCTGCGGCAGTTATATAACTGGTCATCAGTCACTGGTTTCGTCACCGGCTTCGTACCATATTAGCGTGACGTGTATTTCACTTATGCAGTGCAGTTCAATTAGAGTTGTCTCTTAAATGTTAGTTTCGCTGCTACATAAAACATCAAAATTTGGATGATTTTGTGAATGAATTTCCAACACAGTATTGTCTGATTTTTACTCCTTGGACTAGGCATGTCTTACATTAGGCTGATTCCATTTCAGACACAATGGCAAAACTAGAGGCATTGTTTTACTAGTAAGAAACTCAGTGCAGTCTGAAAGAACGTCTAGTATGAACAATGAACTGAGAGTTCTTACATTACTTGTTTAAAAGGCTCGACATCCTAAATGGAGTTTTGATCCATAGTAATTGGTGCGTTGGTCCCGGACAAGATACGGTTCCATCAATCATGATTTATGCTTATGCATTAGAAGAGCTGAACAGTTGCCTACCTATGCTAAAACCAGTATTACAAGTATAACATTCGTCGTTGTTGTTGCTGACACAGCATTTTCTCAAGGGATCAATGAAGGCGATTTAGGTATGATATATGTGAGGCATAATCAACTACAAACGAAAGTGCTCGCTGTCTTGAATTCCCGTCAGCTTAACGACCACAGGGATGGGGGTCGTCGGCACAGGCTGCAAGCTCGTAAAGTTGACGAAACGGGATTCGATAGATGATGAGCCAGTCTTCAAACATACCATCAAGGAGGGCAAGATTCAACCAGATAATTGTTTAGCTGCTTATTCTGCTGACAGGAAAATCTGTAAAATACTACACAGGAAAGATTTTTCACGCAGTATTCACCAAAATTTGTGAACCTTTCGATCGACTGCTATCACTGACATAAAAAAATTACACGCTTCTACCCGGATTAAAAGCTATTCCAAGTGGTTTGCTTTACTTTTTTTTACCTCAGTATTGGTTTTCTGCGATCCGATAATGAGTTCATCATGAGTCTTTATTACCCGCAAAATCAGTTTGTTGTGCCCTTTCATGTCGTGTCGTTCAACTGCACCTGTCCCTTTCAGGCCATATTGGGGAAAGGTAGGTAACCGATATGCCGTAAGAAGTACCTGCTGTTTCGTGCAGCGGCACGAGTTGAGCCTAATGGTGGTAACCGGCTCCACGGCCGCACTGAGTCATTGACATTGCGTGTCTTGAGTGAATTTCTAATATACGGGACCTTTTTAACTGTTTTCAAATGGCGCTTTGTCGTTACTACTCGTTTACTGAAATCTGATTTATTAGACTCGTGAAAGCATTAAATGTAGACTCAGTCCGGCATTGAAACTACATACTCAGGTATGCATAATTGCATAGAGGATCAGGTAGAATGGCTTTCACAGTCGACAAGTGCGGTTTCATCCTTGGCCATCTTACAGTTGTCAGGCATGCTGCTACCCTAATGCTTCCACTGGAGAAATACCGGTAGTTAACAAAAGGAAGCCACAATAACCTGTGCTGAGACAGTAGATATAACAGTGTGACTCTGGAATATCTCACAGGCAGCGACAAGACCCTGTAAGAGAAGGTCACTATAGGTCTTTTCGCGAGCTGTCGACTAGGGTACAGAGACCGTTCGGTTTCCATCCGCAGGCGAATATACAAACCGGTGCATATGCAGTATGAGTATTTTTCCTGTAAATATTACCGAAAGAGGTGCAGAAATGAAAAAATGATGCATACTATTGCGCAATCTCACCACTTTGTATCATAGTATCTCGACTTTTGACTAACTCTCCATCATTGCTTCCGTCCGTCTATATAGAGATCACGCGAGGATCACACACGCCATGGCAATGTAGTTAATCCTATAGATAGGTACCCATCAAATTCCGTTTCAACGCTTCTTTACAACGACAGCCTGTCCAGTAAAAGAACTTTAACCTACGTTGGCTAAATCTTTGATCCAAAATCTTCGATCATTTTTTCAACGAAACATTAGCATGTACCAATAACACAGAGCAATCTGTTTCACTTAGAGCAGTCCTAAAAACAACAAGCCGATTGCTGCGGCCCGCAAAACATGTGCATCTTTTTTGTGCATGAAAACCACGCTCTTCTTAGAATTGTCGTCTCACGGTGGTGATTAGTTCGCGTGGCACTTTTGTGGCATTCTCCCATACAACTAAGTTCAAAATCCACTGCTATAAATAAAAATACATCGCTGAACCGTTGTTTATTTGTTGGCTATAGTGTGGAATGTTGTTAGCATGCTCCGAACAACGGTATTAATGTTTTAGCTGACAAACGCGCTCGTATTTTTGTATGGGAAAAACACTCCCTGGACACAGGTGAAAATCTTGGTACGTTTTCAACGTATGCTGTTAATGAAGAGCGTATTACTTCTGAAAATATTAGGACTATTAATGACTTCTGTAGAACCTTCCAAGCTGTGGGGCACACAGGCTCACCATCGGTTGCCTCTAAACATTAAATTCTTTCAAAAAAACCGAAGCTGATTTCCTTTACACTTGGACACATACATCTCATCGGCATGTCCTTCCAACAGAATTTTTCTTGCAATGCCTCCTACCACTAACGAAAGTTCATTAGATCTAGCGATATTTCACCGTATTTTGATGCGGATGGTTGCTGCTGCCGATATCTACACTATGAAATTCACATGTTATAT